AAACAGTTTTTCCAACAAGTCTGTACAAATTGCCTGCTAACTCTCATTTTGCAATCACTAACGCTCATTTTGAAATTTTCAGACATTTATTTTCACCTATAACTTAGAAACCTTTTTCATCATATTTTTCCAAGAATAAGAAACTCCTTCTGAGACCTGGAACATGTTTGACACCTTGGATGATGCATATGCCTCCATTGAACGTCTTGATTCTCACATCTCCAACTCTTACTATTTTACAAGAGCCAGTATTTTCTATGTAAACAATGCCTCCATCACATGGTTGATACCTATAGAACCAATCCCTAAGTAGAGTCATGTGAAAGAATGCACATGAATCAAGTCGCCAATGCTGCAATACTTTCTCCCTATCCTCGGACAAAACTTCTTCATCTTCAGAATACTCAGTTTCTTCTATTAGATTTCTCTGAGATCCATTTGAACTAGACTTCTCATTAGAACCAGATTTATCGGCTTCCTGGTTCTTTTTGTGCCTTACAATCTTTCCTCCCATGACCTATCTTTCTACGGCTTCAACACTTTACTTTTTTGTGCTTTCTTGATTTGGATCTTCATTGACCTCTACCCGTAGTTCTCTCTATTGATCTTCCCCGTGCTAGAAACACATTTTCAAAAGAATCCTGACCAAACCTTCGCCTAGACTTCTCTATCAAAAGTGTTGAAACAATGAAATCAAATTCAAGAGATTTCGCACTACTGAGATTCATGATTAATCCGTCACATGATTCCAACATAGAACAAAGTAAAAAAGTTGCTTTGTCTTCGTTATCAATTTTTACATCTAGTGAAATTAACTTGCTAATCAAGTCATTAAACTCATTTAAGTGTCTTTCCAAAGATGCACTATCACTTATCTTAAGATTATAAAGTTTCCAATGAAGAAAATTTTATTCAGAAAAGAAATACCTTCATAAGTATTTTTCAATTTGTCACATAAATCTTTTGCAAAAGTTTTTGAGGAGACATTGAATAAAACAGACTCATCAAGCGCCACCCTAACCAACTCATCATGCTGATCAAATTCCTCATCACCTATCTTTTCTGGTTTACTTTCTATCTTTTAAATCCACTATACATCCATCTTTCACCAATACCGTGCATATTTCATTTCAGGTTGAGAAATCCAAACCATCAAATTTTGGAATTTCATGTTTGGTTGAATTTCTTCCAACCAGCCTCAAAGATATGCAATCTACAACAAACCTTATGCCCAGCAATGATCTTAAATAACCCTAAAGCTCTGATACAAATTATAGATAATAGAAACCAAGGTTTGACAAAAATAAAAGAATTAAAAATAATACAGAAAAATAAAAGAATAAAAACACAAAGGTTTACCTGGTTCAGTAAGTTGCCTACATCCACGGGATATCAAAAGTTCTTTTCCACTAATCAGAAAAACACCATGCAAGTATAGAGAATACAAGGGTTTACAAACTCTCTCTCTCAAGCCCTAAAACATGGTCTTTTCTCTCAAGAGCACCCACCCAAAATGACTAAAGAACTAACTCATCTCATTGTATTTTTCCTTGCATTATTTCCTCTCTCTACCAAGCTCTCTTTATAAAGAAAAAAACCTAAGAATAGAGCACCACGTGAAACCTCCTAGAATCCCATTCCTAATATGATTTGGTTCCCTACTTTTCAGATTTAGCAATAGATTTCTATGTCCCATAGATCACTCACTATCCATACCTCCATGTCCCATATTATGGAAGGGATATAGATCATGTGACATCCCATTAAAATAGGAATGATTCCTATAAACATGGGAATATGACTTCACGTATTTAACAAGAATTATTAGGGACCCATGATTGCTTTTCACCTGGGGTTGCCCATTTTAAAACAAAGGAAAATTTGATTTCTTTTGAAATTTACAAAGTGTGCTTTGATTTATTTGAGGGCATGGAATCCTCACTAATCTATCCAAAAAACTAAAAAAAAAAAAAAGGAAAAAAGAAAAAAAAAGAAAAAAAAGAAAGAAAGAAAGCAGTGCTTAACGTTAATGATTTGTACAAGGACAAATAATTCCTGGTTTGAATGATAGGAAAGTGGCATTTATGTGCTGCATCTCATAATCTGCAACTGGGTTAAGCGTCTAACCATTTGAAATTTATATTATTTCGCTTTTTAGCATTGGAATATACACGTAGTACAAGAAAGTATATATTCGGACCATTTATTTTTGCTACAAAGAGGTCCGGGTCACCTTAGTTGTTAGAGGTGAATAGGAACAATTAAGAATGTATTGTTGCCCATGCTGAATTCCGAGACATTTTGTTGGAGTTATCGTAGGAAAATGATTCACTCCAATGGTCTGTTTTACATCGGACTGCTTGCAGTGTTCCTTTGTGTATAAAAAGTAGCAGATGCATCTTGTGTAATCCCTTTTTATCGAATTACACCAAAAAATTGAACCATTCAACATTTCAATTTTATGGATTTCAAAATCCACAATAAGTAGCTTGTGGCGTAGTTGGACCCATATCAAAAGATATGGTTGAGATGGTAAATAGTTCATCTCTTATGTGTAATTTGATAAACTTCCCTAAATATGTCTCTCTAAATATACACCAATAACACATTATTATAATAACTAATATATAAAAAGCACGATTTCTATGAGTCCTCGGACTCATATGTAGAAATACACCCCCCTTCTAATAGGAAGATCATTAACGTGTTAAAAAAAAAAAACTAAAAAAAAGATATTTTTTAGAAAAAAATATTTGAGCCATTGATTTTAGCTTTTTTCTTGGAGGAACCATCACTTACATCCATATGCCTCCCCTAATGCAAAACCTACTTTTCCTATATACAAAGGGAAAAGTTTATATAGTTATGAGGCTCTAGACAATCAAATTTGAGCCTACCTCCAAAATTTCACTAGAAGAGGTTGTTTGGATGCCCAAATATCTTCAAATGGATCATCTTGACATCAATATGTATGGACATGAAAAAATAATGGATTGCAAGTTTTAGAAATAGTGTATTTTATAACGTATTTTTGGAGCGTTAATTTTCAAGATTTTAAAGTTTTATAGATATGTCCATCTATACTGTTTATGAAGTTTTAAACTTCATAAATAAATATGCTATATTTTAAGGCTATCATAAAGATTTTCAATATTGAAACCACATTTCTCGATACTATTTGAAGGTAGGGTCTAATTTGATTGTTTGGAGCCTAGGCTCTATACAAACAACAACCATAAAAAAATACATATATTCTGGGGCTTCCCCCTAATGCCAGATGGCCTAGAGTGATGCCTCGTCTTTTGCAAGAGGCCTAACCATTCACCCAGGGGCATTTCAGGAAAATGAAAAGAAAGGGAAGAAAGGACCTATGTGTAAAACGTAAAATTTACAGGATATAATTTAAATAACAAAAAAATATTTATGAAAATTTCCCTGGAAAATAATAAAACAATTAATGAAGGAAAAAACTTATGTAGGGTTGACACATTAAAATGTAGAATTAAAGGACACCTCTAAAATCCTTCGAAACAAGTTGTTTTGATGGTGAAAAAACATCTAATTTATCATCTCGATATTGAGATGTATAAATATGGAGAAAAATAATACACTTGCAATACATTATCTAGATCGTTCATTTTCAAAATCTTCATGTGTTCATAGATTTGCCTGATTTGAACTTTTTTAAAATTTTAAATTTTATAATTAGAGATAAAAATAGATTCTCACACCATCTTAAAAATTTTAGACACTAAAATTACGTCTCACGAGCACACCCATTAATGAATGAATTAGTATGAAGTAGCGTATAATGTGATTTGCATTACTATTAATTTTTGGGATCGAGGCTGACAGATACCACCATCCAAATACTACGCACGTGGGAAGCCCAAAAGAATCATTCCCCAAGAGATTTCCACAATCATACAATTATATATTTCTCATATCCTAACCAAGTTACCCTTTGGCCTAACCTCTCTTTTTAAGTTTCAGAAATAGTGCATTTTACAACATATTAAGATTTTTATATGTTTATAGATCTACTTGATTTAACCATTTTTTGAAATTTAAAATTTTATATATAAAAATAGATTTTGAGATAATCCTAAGAACATTTTACATCAAAATTATATACCACCTCTACAGCTACGGATGCATCTGTATGCCAACTGCACACTTTTAATATTAACTTAAGATCTAGATAGAAGGAAATTTTAGAGGTCTTGAGGCCCTTCCCACCTAACCCTTTTTTCTTAAGCAGCCATGGTCTTATCTTTCTTCTTCTTCTTTTTTCTTATTTATTTATTTAACATGAACATTGCCTTTTTTTTTTACTTTTTTTGGAAAAAGTTCATATAAGGTTTCAAGCAAGGTGCACTTCAAAAATCCACTAGAGAAGGTTGTTCTTGTGTTGGAAAACCCTCAGATCGGCCATCTTGTCCTCGAGACTCGTAAACATGAAAAAAGGGGATTTCTAGTCCTAAAAATAGCTCATCTTCTAACACATTATCATGACCATCTATTTTCAAGATTTTCAAGTATTTATTGATCTACTTGATTTTCACTATTTTTGGAACTTTAAATTTTATAATTGGGGGAAAAATAAATTTTTATATCACTGCAAGACTTTGCGGCACCGAAACTGTATTTTCGGCATAATTTTGAGGTACACCTTATTGCAATAGTATAAGGTTGACAAAATATACAAACATCACCCTTTCTTTTTATCCAAAAACCTATCATACCAACTGATGTTGTAAAAGTAAGAGACCTATTGGGATATTTTGCAATATGTTGAGGTTTCAGTTTCTTCAAAATAAATTGGTCACCCTTGAGTTCTCGAAAGTAGAAAGTGAGCTATGGGCATTAAAATTAGCATCTTTCGCCCGCCCTGACACTTCTCGATTCATATTTTATAAGTTTATATCATGGATGCATGAATGTTCTTGTAAAGAAGGGATCTTTCACCCCCTAACAGTTGTTTGTTCATACTTCATACCATGGATGCATCAATTTTCATGTCTCTCCTCCTCCTCCTTGCCTCCCTACCCTTCTTTCTTTTACTCATTGCAAGAAGAAGGTCGGAAAAGCTCCCTCCTGGTTCGCTCGGGATCCCCCTGGTGGGCAACAGCCTCGCACTTTTGCGAGCGATGAGAAATGATAGAGCTGAGAAATGGATCGAAGAGAAGATACGAAAGCACGGGCCAATATTCAAGGTTACACTCTTTGGTTGCCCAACTGTGGCGCTCTCTGGTTCTCCAGCCAATAAATTCATCTTCACTGCGAAGGATGACACCTTCATTAATCAACAACCCAGGCCTATACAGAGGATATTGGGGGAGAGAACCCTGCTCGACGTAAGTGGTGAGGATCACAAGCGCTTAAGAACTGCATTGAGCATGTTTTTGAGGCCAGAGGTGTTGAAGGAGGATGTTAGGAAGATGGACAAGGAAGTCGGGCGACACTTGGACCGGCACTGGGAAGGGTGGCAAGAACTCAAGGTAATGACATACTAAGAATTATATGGGATCACAGGAGTTGTTTTTACAAAACACAGTAAGCAGCTTCATTCGCATGAAGACCATTCCATGTGTTGCTTACAATCAAGGTTTTAAAAATCGGCAAACTGGACTGGCCAGTTTGGATCGAGAATCATTGGGGTCGGTTCGATAAGAACTCAAGGTAATGACATATTGGGGCCGGTTCAGTTCTGCCTAAATATTGAGAACGGGCCAGTTCTCTCTCAGAACCGGCTAGTTTTGTTAGAGAATTGGATTGACTTTATTTTTTAGTATTTTTTCAATTTTTTTTGTTTCCTAATTTCGTACTTTTTTATTCGCCTTGTTCACTAGGTCAGATTGCCAATCTAGACCGGTTTTCTAGAGGGGCGATCCAAATTACTGAACCGTATTTTTAAACCTCGCTTACAATGAAATATGGATATTTTGGTTTTTCAGTTGATGCCATTGATAAAGAGGCTCACATTTGAGATCATGTGCACACTTATTATAGGGGTTGAAGCTGGACTAGT